TTAATTTTAAATTGAAATTATAATTATAAAATGACGAACTAAATCATAATGTACAATTTGCATGTTTTAAGAACTAAAATCAAACTACCAAATCAAAAAACTAAATTAAATCATACCATTTGAGCTAAATTGAATCAATTTACGATTTGTTTGCATTTTTACTCAACTCTAACCATGACTGCATTTAGGGTATAAGAAAAATCAAATAAACCAACCAAACCATTTTTCAACAAGAATTGATCTGTACGGTTTTTAATTTTTATTTTTTTTAATTTTTGATTAAATATCAGTTTAAACACATTATGTACCGAACTAAACCAAAACCGACCGTATCAATATATATTATATCTATAGTATTAATAAGTATAATAAATTATTAATCTCAATTAATTAATCCTATCATCCCTATAACCTAAGTTAGTATACCCTTATTATATATAATCTTAACTCTAACTCGCTATTTTTGAAACCTTAGTATTTATTATTAGTTTTTGTTTGTATTTTTGTTAATCTAGAAATTGTAAAATATTTATGAAATTAATGGATATGATATGTTTGAAATGTTGACAAATGATTAATTTAATATTTTTACATAGATGTGTGACTATACCAAAAAATAGCTTAAGGCCTTGTTTAGGGTATTTTAAAAAAATCAAAAAGTCACTATCCTATTTAAGTCACATCATCTTATTTAAGTCACATCACCTGTCTACCATATCACTTCAAACCCAATCCATATTTCATAAAAAGTAAAAAAATATACTTATTTAGATCATTCCAAACCACCCATAAATTTGAAAGATGCTAAACCGATTAAACGTATTAAACCAAACCACTTCAATTGATGCAATTTGATAGGAGAAGCAGTCTGTAATGATGCTTAAAATAATAAAATTGACATTATTGATTTAGTGAAAATTTTTCTCTAAATACCAACCATACCAAACTGATTACATTTCTAACTATACCTCCACCAATAAACAACTTGCCCCGCTCGTGATACAATACCCGACCAAGGCGGGTATTATAAACTCACTTCACACCCGTTCAGTTGTTATCTATTCATCCTTAAGTAACGGTTAGGCCTTATTTGAAAAGTGACTTATAAATTAATTTATTAATTTTATTGACTTACTTGAGTCATATTATTTCTTTATTTTTTATATATTTTTTTATAATAAATTAAAAAATTAATTTTATAAATCACTTTCCAAATGAGGCCTTAATTTAAAAATAAACTAGTTTAATAATTTTTTTAATTAAAATATGAAATAAAAAGCTAGTATATTTGAGATTTTTTAACATTTTACGGAAAAAATATGAAAAAAAAAGAAAAAAAGAAAAAGAAAAGAAAGAAAATTGTTAACTTTTTAATGGGATGAAATCGGTAGGGACGAAATCTCCATCCTACGCATCACTCATCCCTTTCGATTAGGGGTGAGTAACGGATATACCGATCCGTCAAAACCAATCAAACCGAACCAATCCATCGCATTTTAGACGGATGCGTGATGACGAGCGGACAGTTACGGATTGATTTTCTCTAATCCGCCAATTTGGCAGACGGATGGCAGATTTGAGATTTATTTGGCCGCAACCGAACCGCCAAACCGCCAAACCATGAGCACCCCTAGTAATTTATAAGATTTTGTGTTTTCAATTTGTTTAAATATTATGTTTGTGTTTTCAATTGAAAAAGAGTTTAAATATTCTGTTGAAAAAAAGTTTTCAACTTGAATATATTTTTTGAATTGAAAAAAATAAACGTATTATTTATCTATATTTTTTGGTTTTTAAATCTAAATGTAAAAATAATAAATAGAAAATATGATATATGCTGGTTGATTTTTGTTTTCAAAAACATATATAGATGTAACAATACAGAGACATACAATCTCTACTACTGTTTTGTTCATGGTTTTGGTGGTTTGAATTGTTATCATATTTTTAGAACCACAGATTGTAATACTTTATATGGATGAATCATGCTATGATTATAATATGTGGATGAGGCATGCAGTGATCGTGATATTCTAAAGTTTTAAACTTTCTTTCTTTAGATAATGCATACAGTGATTGTAATACTTTTTTAAGTCATTGACTGTAATACTTTCTTTCTTTTTTTTTCTTTTTTTTTTTTGAGAAAGTGCACAAGTTGAATTATGTTGAAAATTTATAAAATTTTAAACCGCCAAACCGATTCGCATCCATCCGCCAAATCGCCAATCCGCTCAATCCACATTCGCCGGATTGGCGGACGGATGCAGATTAATTTTCTCCAATCCGCCAATCTGGCAGACAGATAGCGGATTGGAGATTTCGTGGCCGCAACCGACCCGCGCCCACCCCTACCTTCGATTAATGCCACGTGTAGACTCTCGTCCCAATTCCATCAGCTCGCCCACATCTTTAAAAAATCGGTGAGATTAGAGACCACTAATGAGGTAACAAAGTAAAAAAGAATAAATAAAAAATAAAAATAAACACAATACAAACTGTGGCAGTGCATCACTAGTGACAGCTCTAATTAGAGGTCCCACTCATTTTCCTTAAAAAATTATTTAATACTTCTTGAACTTCCCGTGATTATATTACTGAACAAATTATTATATACCATCTCATTCGATATAAAATTATAAATTTTATTTTTTCGACAAATTACAACACCTTCAATGTTCACCCAAGATCATTTTCAATAATTATTCAAATTTGTCATAAAATTTGAATTTAATAAAAAATTGTTCATTTTCCTAATTCAACGGTTTCATTAAATAGTTATCAAATTCATGATTTTATTTTTTCTTTCATCAAACTGAGGACTAATGTGTCTTTCATCAAATCATTGTTTATAACCATTTGATTTTCACATCTGGATGTCCTTTCGGATGTCTCTCGGACAACCACCTCGAGGCAAACATTTATGAAAAAATTACACTAGCTAATCAACCCCCAACCGTCTTCTCGGTCGACTCCCAAATGTCTACCTTAAAACAAAAATTTATGAAAAATTTATACTGACCAATCAACTGGCTGAACATCCGCCCGACTGTCCGCCCAGCCAACTGGTATTCTAATGAAGTTTCAAAAACTTTCATTAGAACACTTGATATCAAATAGATTTTTACTCAAATTTTTACTTAAATTTAGTAAAAAATTGGGTGGACCATTAAAGATACTCTAATAAAAAGCAAGGTGCTATGCATCAATTGTTATACAAATTATAAAATTCAAATTCAATAAAATTATGTGACATAATCGTTTAATACACCAATTAGGGATGTGCGCGGTGCGGTTTGGGCGGTTTGAGAGTAAATTTATAAATCGAATGGCGGGTTGGCGGATTAACGGATTGACAAATTGCGGTTTTTGACGGATTGGCGGATTGAAGAATATTCTAACTAATTATCATACATTTGTATAATATATAACACTAATTTATATAATATTTTTTAGATATATAACACAAAGTAATTTTACATAATATGTTTCATATATATAGCCACTAATTTGTAATAAATTTCATATCTTAAATCTCTCTCACACTCATTTTTACATTGATATTTCATTGGAGGTTAAAATATATATATACTAGCGTATGCCCGTGCCTGAAGGCACGGTATAAATAATGTTAGGACCAAATTATAATTATAATTCATACAACTACACAATTGAGAAAACTCAGTCTGATCCAACTTTATAGACTCACACATATATTCAAGAACAATCACCACAGAGTTCTATTTAAAAAATAGCAAAGGAAGCTAAGTAGAATAGATTTAGTTTCCATTGCCTTTGTCGGGTTGGGAAGAAACAGAGGGTGGGAAGGCAAGTAAAGCAATAATGTAATTGGCAATTCTAAAGCAATAAAATACACCTGACAACAACATTTTATAAGCAATAATGAAGGCAACTGAAGCAACATTGTAAATAATGTTAGGATCAAAATGTAATTGAAATTTGTAAAATTTGTGAAGGACAAAATTTAAATAAAATAAAACAACAAAAACATTCAAGCACATGACAGCTTGATTAATTGTTCGTCGCATGAGGAAATTAGGTTCTTGTTCATTCCACTCTCAAACGGATCCTAAAACAACCAAAATGAAAATGAAGAAACTGATAGCAAAATAGGTTTAATAGTTAGCAATCAAACAGAGAGAGAAAGGGAGAGGCAAAACAAACAGACACAACAGCTGTGATGTGATTTACAATTATCTATATATGTGAATTGTGATTTTTAAATGTCTTTTTTTTTTTTAAATGTCTTCTTTTTTACTTTTTTATATTATATTAAAATTTAATATTTTGATAATAATCATATGTGTTGGACTTTTTAAAGAATTAAATGTCTTTTTTTATTATTATATTATATTAAAGTTTAATATTTTGATAATAATCATATGTGTTGAACTTTTAAAGAAATTTTTTTTATGCTTGTTCTTAATGCATTAAAGTGTTATTACGATGGATAATAATCATATGTGTTGGGACTTTTCAAGAAATTTATATGTGTTGTATTTCAAAGAATTTTTTTTATGTTTGTTCTTAATACATTAAAGTGTTATTATGAGGGTAAGACTTGGGGGTTGGGAGAAGTTAATAAATGCTAATTTTTTTTTTTAAATCAAAAAATCAAAAAATTTAGATTGGGAGATTGGAGCTTCCACAAGACTTAAGGATAAAAACCCCCTTTTACTTCATATATAGGGGTGTTTGTTGCAGCTTTTCAGAATCAATTTATGGCTTTTAATTTTGAAAAAGTTATTTTGGACTGTTTGGTTAAACTTATTTCAAACAGATTCTAACAGCTTATTTTTAACTCAAAAAAAATTGATTCTGATAAGCTGCTTACCCCTTGCTTCTAACAGCTTTTATAATCTGTTAAGTTATAATTTATAAGTTATTTTAACAGTTACACCAAACATAACCATATTATAGAAGTATAGATATTCAATAAAAAAAAATATAAAGAAACTCAATACTTATCATACTTCATGTTCTCCATATCCTTTAATCCACCACACCAAATCATAAATCTTCCCTCCGTCAATCCCAATACGGTGCCGTGCTCTAGGAGCACCCAATAACGATTCCATCCCTTTCGTGTAGTCTAAAAACAAAGAAACAAAATAAAAAAATCGACAAACAAAAAAAGTTTGGAGTGCATATACAGAAGAAAGGAGATTTGAGATCTTGGCTTTGCTTCGATTCTCCATTTCGAACATCTCGTTCTCTCTCTAAGGGTTTGCTTTTTTCTATCTCTCTCCGCCGCGACGCGAAAGTACTGCTACTGTGTAAGTGTTCTCTTGTTTTGATCTCTTCTATTTCGTGTTCTGATATCCTAATGTATCAAAATTCGGTTCTGTTTCAATTGAATGCTTTTTTAGAAGGACGTGTCATTGGTAATCTGGTTTGTTAATTTGGTTTTAGTTGATTTTGTGATTGAGTTTCCAAGTTTTTTTTTTTGTTTGTGTTAAATTTAGTCCAATAATCAAATGATTATGATTATGATCTAGTTCTAGTTGAGAATCTCTTAGTTGATCAGGATGTTGGATATTAGAGAAGCAATGACGACGCGGGAATGTTGTATATGTAATTAGGAAGTTATTTTAGTTGCAGTGTTCTTTCCTTAATCGAACGAACCCTAGAGGAAATTTTTAGTTAAAATAAAATTTGAGCAATTAAGACATTTTTTTTCATTGTTTAATCAGGTTTATTAATTCGGTTTTAGTTGATATTGTTATTGGGTTTCCAAGTTTTTTGTGAAATAAAGTCCAATAATCAAATGATTATGATTATGATTAAGTACTAGTTGAGAGTTTTAGTTTATGTGCCGGATATTTATATTGAGTATTAGAGAAGTAATGATGATGCAAAAATGTTGCATATGCGACGAAGATGTTATTTTAGTTGCATTGTTTTATCCTTCATCAAATGAACCCTAGATGAAATTTTTGGTTAAATAAAGTTTTGAGCAATTAAGAAATATACCCGGAAAATGTGGAGTTTTGATTCATCTTATATTGGAAAAACTGGAGTTCGGATGTATTGTAGGCTTTCCTTTATTCTATGGTTGGACCAAGAGGTGCTAGTTTGTTGTGTTGTGTGTGGCAATGAGCCTCCTGCCCTTTCTATCTAATGGATCCAATCCAGATCCAGATCTAGGCTTGGATAGTAATGCCAAAGGGATGCTAGGAGAGAAAGCGAAAAGAGCTCCTAAGTGGAAAACTGTGCATAGGAGAATGATCTGATGTGAGCGTGGTAAGTCTCTCACCATAGTAGAGAAGGGCTCATATTGAAACGCTTTCCCCCCTCAAAAGGTGACATGCTTTCAATACTAGTTGTTACATTACGTTGCCATTTTTCCAATATTAGTGCTTGCTGAATTTAGAGATGATATTTGGTTTCCTTGTAACTAAGATTTTTTCAAGTTTGTGGATGTTAACTACCAAGCTAATAAAAGTGTAATAATGGTGTTATTAAATTAAATGTAAAGTGAACATTTTCATTATTTAGGGTCGATTATCACAACGGCGGGAGAGATTGATGCGGATGTGGCCCATAGGATTAAGGCAGGATGGCTTAAGTGGAGAAGTGTAAGTTCTATAAAACGGTTATTAGACCAGCGATGTTGTATGGGACGGAGTGTTGGGCAACCAAGAAACAACATGTAGATAAAATGAGTGTTATTGAGATGAAGATGCTAAGTTAGATGTGTGGCAAGACTAGACAAGACGGAATTAGGAATGAGTGTATTCGAGAATTGATAGAAATAGCACCGATAGAAGATAAGTTGAGAGAGAATCGGTTGAGAAGGTTTGGTTATATTCAACGGAGACCAACAGAGACAGTAGTGAAGAGATGCGATGCAGTGACGGTAGATGGAAGTGTTAGGGGACCGGGTAGGTTTAGATTAACGTTGGCTAGCGTTGTAAATAGAGATATAAATCTACTTAGGGCTAGTTTGGCATATACTAAATAAGCTAAAAAATCAAAAAGTCACTATCTTATTTAAGTCACATCATCTTATTTAAATCACATCACCTCTCTAACACATCACATCAAACCCAACCCAAACCCAACCCAAACCCATCAATAAGTCAAAAAGTGCACTTTTTTAGGACATCCCAAACCAACCCTTAATTTGACTAACGAAATGGCCTTTGATAGAGCTGCGTGGAGAAGAAGGATTTATGTAGCCGACCTCATTTGATGGGACTTAAGGCTTGGTGTAGTTTTGTTGTGTAGGTCTTAGCTTTTTTGTTTCTCTTTTTTGAGTAGCATGACGCGGCTATGGTCTGTAACACCGTGCAAGCTGCCTTAAACTAAATTTCCTTGCAGAATCGTTGTAAATAGAGATATAAATCTACTTAATTTGACTAACGAAATCGCCTTTGATAGAGCTGCGTGGAGAAGAAGGATTCATGTAGCCGACCTCATTTGATGGGACTTAAGGCTTGGTGTAGTTTTGTTGTGTAGGTCTTAGCTTTTTTGTTTCTCTTTTTTGAGTAGCATGACGCGGCTATGGTCTGTAACACCGTGCAAGCTGCCTTAAACTAAATTTCCTTGCAGAATTTGGCTTTCACTTAACACCATGATTTGAATTTGTGGTGTTTGAGCTTCTCATCACATAGGGTATTGGTGCTAATACATAGCCAAGGATTTTGCATCATGCATTTGTGTGTGATGTCACAACATCGAACTTATTGAATTAATCATATTTTATATGCAGTTTTAAAATTATGGTGTGGGGCCACTATATAGATGACAAAGGTGTTCATTGCATGCTTATAAATATTCATGTTTCATATGGTAGAGGCATAGTCTTTTTTTCTTTTTCTTTTTTCTCTAAAAGAAAGAAAAAACCCTCATTGTCACCATTTGAAGATAAGAACAAAAGAAGAAGAATTATAAATAAATAAATAAATAAATCGATTATCATACATATCTTTCATGTCAAAGGATGAATAAGTCCATTTATTTAATTCTACGTTGCTGCACTTATTACCTATACCCACTAGGATACATACTTCGATCCATACTAATTAAAATTACATTTTAATTTAATAATTAGTCTAATGATTAGAATCTAAGTAACAAATTAATTAGATTTTATATTATTAGATATTTGTTTGTAATTCTTAATTATAATTATTATAAGATATCTTTATGACCATGTAATAATAACAGGTAAAAATAGTAAATTGAGGTATTCATTTTACGATAACCTTCAACTTGCCCTCTATTTTTTGCCTACTATGGTATTATTTATAAGAAGCATTATTTATCATTAATTCACTATCTAAAATTAATGTGCTAACTGCATAATTAGCCCAATAGAATTTGCCTATACATTTTTGAAAATTTTCATTTAAAATAATATATAATTTGGCTTGCCTATCTTGCTATAAATTATTCAAAATAAGTTACACGTTAATTTGCTTGACACCTTCTATCTTATGGAGTTATGGTGGAGCATATCCTGTTGGGGCTGTTGACTTACATATTTACATTCTCCTTCTAGACATAACGCTTGTTTTTTACAGGTAATTGGTATCACTCGGAATTCTTCTCCAGATTTACGAGTTGTTACCAGCTTCAAATCTGATGTTTATTGGATCTTTGGGGAAATTAAAGGATGACGTTTGAATGCATTTTGTTTTTGGTTTCTTCTTCAAAGAAAGGATAAAATGGTTGCAGTTATAGTTTTTTTCTGAAGTTTGTTGGACCCGAAGTGACTCTATTATTGAATGAAGAATAATAGTTCATCTTTGTCTTTTGCGATAATGTTCAAATGATGGGAGCATGGTGGAGAGTTTTTATGTAGGTTCCTATAAAGATTTGCGTTACAATTATTGTTTTATCAATCGGCTGTTGGTTGGTTCCTTGTCTGCATGCAGAATATAAATTTTTTTTTTTAAAGGATGAATGACTACAGAGAACCTGAGATTCTGTTTCCGAGTTGGATCAACAAGAATCCATCTGAGATATCAGAGTATCATCTCTTCATCATCTCTTGCTTTCTTGCTGGCTTAGTTGGGATCCTGACTATAGCCTACACTGCCTTCCAATGGAGAAGAAACATCAACTTGAGTTGGATGAAAGCGATAGCCAGGTCGAAGAAAAACCCTAAGGCAAAGAACAAGGTTCCTGTTGCTCCTCATGCATGGATGTTGGAATCTGTGTCTCGAGGAAAGTGTTTAAACTGTTGTGTATGCTTAAAGTCAGTGTCTCCTTCTCAAGCTCTCGGACCAATGGTCTCAGAAACTTTTATACACTGCTGTAGCATATGCGGTGTGGCAGCGCACCTGGGATGCTCCTCGAATGCACACAAGGATTGCAAGTGTATGTCTATGGTTGGTTATGAGCATGTGATACACCAATGGTCTGTTCGGTGGACTGAGGTCACGGATCAAACTGATGAAACTTCTTTTTGTAGCTATTGTGAAGAACCGTGCAGTGGGTCCTTCCTTGGGGGATCTCCTATATGGTGTTGCCTGTGGTGTCAACGGCTGGTACATGTTGACTGCCACAATAGTACATCAAACGAAACAGGTGATATTTGTGATTTTGGCCCATTTAGAAGGCTAATTTTATCTCCACTTTTTGTTAAGGAGCTGAACTGGTCTTCTTCGGGTGGGTTTTTGAGTTCCATCACCCAAGGAGCTAATGAGATTGCATCTTCTGTGCGTGCTACTATTAGGAGTCAAAGCAGCAAGAAGCACAAGCAGGGAAATGACGCCTCTGCAGACACGGGTGATAGTAGTAGTATTGGTGACACATCCACAGAAAGTACTGCTGATACTCATCAAACAGCTAATGGTTCTCGCAGAATGGAGGAAAGTAGCAATGGAAGCATAATTGGTGTGGCAGATCAGAATCAAAATGGTGATGCTGTTAAAAAATTGGATTCTAAGCCTAGTTTTAAAAGAAGTTCATCAATCAATCAAAAGGACGAGTCTCAGATTGTAGGGTTAAAACAGAGATATGAGTTGATTGATTTGCCATCAGATGCAAGACCATTATTAGTTTTCACTAACAAGAAGAGTGGGGCTCAGCGAGGCAATTCACTCAGGCAACGTTTAAACATGCTCTTGAATCCGGTTCAGGTCAGAATCTTTGACTACAATTAATTTGCCCCTCTCTCTCTCTCTCTCTCTCAGTGAAGCAATAAAACATATACTCCTTCTGTAATCCTTCATTTATGATCTTGGGGGTAGTCAAAGTGAAAATTGGATAGTGGGTATCACCCTCTTAAGTTTTTAATCATTGATGTTGCTTTCTGTAGGTTTTCGAGTTGAGTTCAACACAAGGACCGGAGGTGGGTCTCTATTTGTTTAGGCGGGTGGCCCACTTTAGAATTCTTGTATGTGGAGGAGATGGTACTGTTGGCTGGGTTCTGAATGCCATAGACAAGCAAAATTTTGTTTCTCCTCCTCCAGTTGCGATTCTTCCTGCAGGAACAGGAAATGACTTGGCCCGAGTCTTGTCATGGGGAGGTGGTTTGGGTGCAGTGGAGCGACAAGGGGGACTTTGCACAGTGCTGCACCACATAGAACATGCTGCAGTAACCATTCTTGATCGATGGAAGATTACAATTTTAAACCAGCAGGGAAAGCAACTTCAACCCCCAAAATTTATGAACAACTATCTAGGTCAGTCAATATATTTTATTTTTTTCACCACTTAATAGTGTGTCTAGAGGATGAAGTTTATGCCCTTGATGTAGATTACAAGTTTGGTTTGTAAAATGACATACACATGCCAGGCACATTTAGTGTTGCAACTAGGTTCTGTTTGTGTGTTTGTCTTCGAATTGCTACTCAAATTGATGTCTAGACTGTCTACTGGGGTCATGCCAAACCTGCTTGACCATAATATAGATTCATCCAAACCTTATGCCAACCTAACTTGGCTGGTTTTGTTTCAGGTCCAACATTTAACTGTGTTGTGTTAGCATGATGGATTCTAAAAAAAATTGGTAGTGTTGGTAGAGCTTTAGAATTATGATTTTAGAATAGAGTTGTATTTTGAATTTGTAAGTTTTGGAATTATGATTTGAAAAGACAAATTTATTTGGTTATGAGTTTTGAAAAGAGTTTTGAATTTTTTATGGGACATATGAAATGATAAAAAGTTGTTTGGTTATGAGTTTTGAAAAAAGTTTTCAAAACTTAATTGAAAAACATATAACTCATAACCAAACACACAATTCAAAACTCTATTAAAAATTCTATTCAAAACTCAACCAAACTCTTTTTAAAATTTAATTTAAAAAAATAATTTGTCATTTTGGTCTAAAAAAATAATTTCTATATTTAAAAAATATCATAAACAAATATATATATTTTTTTTCTTCTAAATAACAGGTGGTGATTGGCAATTGCTAAAAAAAAAAATACTATTTCGGTCAACCAGTCGGACGACCGGCCGAACATCCGGGAGGATGTCCAAGAGGACGACTGGGTAGGCCAAAAATTCAAAAATTGTCTGCTTTACCAAATATGTTTTCAAAATGTATTTTGAAATTGCTTGGAATCATGATTTGAAAACTCAAAACAAACATAGCATTAGAATGTAAGGGTGGAATTAATTTTACAAAACTCTACTAAACACAGCCATTGTTTTTCTCTTTGTTTATATTTATGCGTATATATGTGAACATGTTTATATGTTTTGTTACAAACTTTAGGTAACTGGTGTTTGTATCAGATGTTCCTTCTTTGATCTTCACAGGGGAATACTCTCTTCCAAGTAGTGAGCCCAAAGATAAGATGTGGCTCCAATTTGAAGGCTTTACTAGGGCTCTGATTTTAACTGATTTATATGATTGAAGGCTGGTAAATTTTGGGATTTTCTAGGCTGCCTATAAATAGGTCTTTTGTGTAATTGTTTATCAGACTATGATATTGAGTTGAATTTAAAATATTGAGATGAGAGAGCTAGAGATTCTTTTATTTTTTGTTGCCTTTGTTTTGTTTTATTTTATTTTCTTTTAGTTTCCCCGTGTCACACACCTAAGTCCATTAGCATCTCTGTGATAATTCCTTGAGACCTCTTAAGATAGTACCACATTATATGCAATTCTTCTTCCTGCAACAAAAGCAATTTGAGAAAAGCCAATGATATCTGGCAAAGTTTCTCTATTATTGGCTAGAATTTTGGCGATACATAAATATGGAGTTGCAACAGGATATAAGGCCTGTAGCCATTTAGTCTTGTGGGATTTGGTGCCTTTGGGATCAAGGTAATGCATGTAGCATTTTGTTTTTCATATATACTTTTGTGCATTATCATGACAAACAGGTAATTATTGTCCCAGGGATTGGGTGTGATGCAAAGGTTGCTTTGGAGATCCATAATCTAAGGGAGGAGAACCCAGAAAAGTTCTATAACCAGGTAACAGTAAATTTACTTCAGAATGGTTTTGAATATCCCTTTAAGAATGTACCACTGACTTGGATTAGAGTGCAGGAAGACTGAACCAGTATAGTTAGTCCATTTGTTGAAATAGCTCTTGACCTTTTCTAAGGGAAACTATGCAAACTATTGTTGTGGGATAGTTCGAGATCCCGGTAATTGAGGATTTGGATGTGTTGTGTAAAAGATATGTATTTTACAAATTGAAGACTGTATTATCCTTTTGTAAGAGTCCTGACATGTTGATCTGCATTTTTTTTTTTTTTTTTCCCGTTTTTAAAGCTCATCGTTAATTGCAGATTCAGACACTTCCCCTACCCTGGTTAATTGCTCATGGTTAAAAAAAGAAAAGAAAAGAAAAGAAAAGGGAACGATAAAGATATATATAAAAAAGAAAAAGAAAAAAAGCAGTCTGTTGTTTGTTTGTTCGTTTTTTACCTACTCTAGTCTAGATCCAACAGCCCACATGGGGCTTGAAGTTACAACCTCCACTATGAGGGTTGGATAGCATACCACTGTGGCATAAGGCCATGGATAAGCAGTTGTTCTTATCTAAGAAACTTTGTATTTTCTAATACTTTAATTTTAAATAATATAATATTTAAACCAGTAACCAGTAACCTTCAAATTTCTGGATTTGGGATAGACCTCCCACCCATTTATTATACAACAAAAGACCAATTTGGTTGAAGTAATTTAATTTATATATGAAAGAACGTAGAATGTTGAAAAATATTGAATCTCATATTTCTTCTTTACTATTGTTTTAAATAGGACCTTGAATGTTCTATAATTTTGGTATGGGAAATTCTATTCGCATACTATAGAAAATCTCTGTATATGCCATTCCTGTCGCTCGGATATAGAATTCCAAATAAAAGCCAAATGTTCGGACATAAACTTATGAGCAAAAATGATTTGTTCAAATAAAATATTCTATTCACCTGTTTATGTCCGAACAACTCCTTTTTGTTCATAAGTTTATGTCTAAACACCCAATTAAAAAATAAATAAATAATAAATAAATAAATGGCATTTCATCCTGACATTCTTACCCTTTGTTTCCATTTCTTTTTCCAACTCTTACACTTGTGCTTCAACTAAATTGTTGCAAACCTACAGGAATCAACATTTATGTCTCTGGTAACGAATTTGCTCCACTTCTTTTTGTTTTTTGTTATTGAATTAATTTCTTCCACTAGTTCTGGTCTTTGAGAATAGAATCCTTTACTAGAGAGTCAGCATAGCCAAATAATTGAAGCTTCCCTGATTTTGGCTTGTTATATGTTTTTTTGTTTATTATTGATTTTAGATTAATAAATCACTCAAATTGTACCAGGAGAAATGCTTTCCTGTGTGAATTTGTCAGTTTTAGTATGTTACAATTACATATCATCCAATACGGAGTACATTTATTTTTATTTCAGCAGTAATATTTGCTATAAATTCTTGGTTCTGTTTTTTTTCCTTTTATTTATCAGATTGCAAGGTGGTTAGTAGTTCTTATTCATTTTGTGTGCTGATTTTACTGCTGATGTAACTGCAGTTTATGAATAAAGTTCTTTACGCAAGAGAAGGCGCTAGGAGTATAATGGACAGGACATTTGAAGATTTTCCTTGGCAAATTAGAGTGGAGGTAGACGGGGTTGAGATAGAAGTCCCTGAGGTGGGTTTGGAGGCTGCTTAACTGTTTGTATAGAGTTAAGGTCTCTTAACTGTTTCAGAAATCATAACTGTATTGGTTGAGATATATTACGTGGTCTTTCTGAACACAGTTGAATTGGTCATCAAGTATTATTTATAAATACATCAAGAGATACCAAATCCTGAATTTTCACAAGTTGTACCAAAATGATACTTTGTCTCGCCTACTTAAATCTCAAAATCATTCTTGTTTCTATATTTTATGCATTTTTTTCATTTTGTTGCATAGTTAGGTTTACTGTTACTGGCTTCCAAAATTTTCTTTAGTTTTTTCCTTAATTATATATGGAATTTATCTATCTACACATTTTGGCTCTGATTTGTTCCCAGTTTTGGAAATTTCATTATGCTTCCAGCAGCTAAGAGATTTTCACTAATCTGGACGTGGAGTATAAAATATTATTCTCAAACTTTGCAGGATGCAGAAGGTGTTCTTGTTGTTAATATCGGAAGCTATATGGGTGGTGTAGATTTGTGGCAGAATGACGATGAAACTTCTGATAATTTTGATCCACAGTCTATGCATGATAAGGTACTAGAGGTTGTGAGCATATCAGGGACATGGCATCTTGGAAAGCTTCAGGTAAGTTGCATCTCCGGCTAATATTTTCAGTTTGTATCCTCGTGGGTTTCCTGCCTACATCTTGTCATTTACATGTTGCTGCAATGGCATCTGTTACCATTTATTTTCAGTTTTTCTTTGTTTCAATTTTCAACAACCCACCATTAAGATACTCTTACTCGATAGAACTTTGACCTTGGTAGGGATAGTAGTTACTAAACTCGTCCTAGGATCTGGATACTAGTTTGAGTTTTTGGTGTACTTTTCAACTAAAGTTTCTTTACACTTCTTGAAACTGCTCTTTTGTGTGTAATAGGTGGGCCTCTCTCGTGCTCGAAGGCTTGCCCAAGGGCAGTCAATTAAGATTCAGCTTTGTGCTGCTTTGCCTGTTCAAATAGATGGAGAGCCTTGGGTTCAGCAATCATGTACATTGGCCATCTCTCATCATGGCCAGGTTCTCTCTCTCTCTCTCTGATCCAGCATGAAGCCAGTTATGCACTATTTATCAGATGTTATTTGAAAACCTTTTTCCTGTGGTGACTGGTGAAGCATTTTGTTAGGTGTTATGGAATTCACCAAGTATCATCATAAATAATGATGTGCAGCAATTTTTGGTTGAATATACATATTATTGAGAAACCAAGTTTATGTTCTGCTTCGCCTCTAGTTTCATATTGTCTAATGCTCCTGGTGCTAGTAAAAAACCGTGACTAACGTATTATGTTCTGCAATTTTTATGAAAATTTTGTGTAAGCAAATCCATGTCGTGTTTGTGTCCTATTGCATGTTAATTATCATGATATGTTGATTGGAGTGATTTATTGGTTGCAATCCATGCCTAAAACTCTTTTCGGGAATCGAACAGTGAATTGCAGACAAACAAACTCTCAATGATTCATATAGTGTGACAATCTGTGTTATGCTTCAAACTTATTGCACAGGCATTCATGTTGAAGAGAGCAGCAGAGGAACCCCTTGGTCATGCAGCGGCCATTATCGCCGACGTGCTCGAGAATGCTGAAACAAATCGTTTGATTAACGCATCACAGAAACGAGCTCTTCTTCAAGAAATGGCTTTGAAGCTGTCATAAAGTCGTGCCTACCCATCATTGCCACTGGTAAAATAGTGTTTGGGTTTGAACTGCAGCTGCTTTTTGGAGAGTTTTTGCTCCTCCTCTCTTACTTACATCTCCATTGATTTCTCTATTTCATCTGTAATATCTTGTGAAATTTTACTTATTGCTGCTATAGCTCAAGCTTGTTGTACATGGACCTTGATTAATAGCAAAATCAAGAGGGTATTTTTGAGGCAGCTTCTTATAAGATGTATATATATGTATATATTGGATGAATTTGGTGTGCCTTTTCTGAGGAATGGAAAGAATTTTTCCATCTATCTATACTATTATAAAGCAAACAGTCACGGTGGTGTATACAAAGCCGGCTCACGCTGTAACTGTTTGAAGCAATTTTTGATCCTATTTAACTATTTCAGTTTGTAATTGTATTTAACTATTTCAGTTTGTAATTGTCAATGTAATTGTTTCACTTGCGCATACGTGGTGTGCCAACACTATTAGTGTATATATATATATGTATAAAACATCTGTTCAAGTGGATGAAGTCTAATTTTTTTTGGACTTACTGGATGAAAGCTATCTTATTTTTGTCTGCTGTTTTATTTTTTTATCTTTTTTTATTTAATTTTTGAACTTTGAGTCAAATTTTTTTTTTTTTTGTTATTTTACATATTTTATTGTCTCAATTATACAATCGTAAAAATAACAAAATTGAGTTAATTTTGAAAAAAAAAACCTTAATTATAGAAAAAAACAAACCAAATTTAAGCCAAAAGGCTTACGAAAATTGGTTTATTTGTCTTCTTTTAAATTTTTTTAGTTCAATTTATTTTTGTTTTTATCAAAAAAATTTGACAAATTTGGCTTACGAAGATCTGTCTCAGATAGACAATTTGATTTATTTTCGTTTTTAACAATTTTTTTTTTTTTAAATTTATGTTACTTTTTTGTTTTTTTAGTCCATCTAGGCTAGGAATTTTTTAAAAAAATAATCCAAAAGTCAACTAACAAAGCATAAGTAAAGGTGATTACTTTGTAATTGCCAAATTGGTAGAATAGGTACTTGTTAATGGCTTCCTAACCTTAATGAATTTGATTCACCCAAAAACCTTAATGAATTTGAATCTTCACCAGAAATGTGCTTTTTTTTTTTTAATTCATAAATTAATAAGAAAGAAAAATAGAAAGAACGAAAATTTGAGCTGGATAGGTAAGATGACGATGTAGAGAATCTTCATCAGAAATGGTCTTGCTTCTTGTACTAACAAGAAAGAATGAATGAATGAATGAAAATTTGAGTTGATTAGCTAAGAATTATCAAATATTAGTACTAAAATTGGTATTTAATAATTAGACTTATTAAAAAATTATTTAGTATTTTTTTTTTTTTGGCTTGCCATTTGGAAGATGTTAGGAGATTAATAAGTTAGATTATAACGAAATAGTTATAATCATTCTATTGATTCAAATTCTAAACCTTTGACATTCTTACTGTCCCAAGGGATAGCTACATTGGTTACTAGACTAGCTGTCCCAAGGGATAGCTACATTGATTACTAGACTAACTGCCGTATTCATTATTCTTGAATTAGTGTAGGTGGTACTTTATTTTACTATTGATCTAAATTATCGAATATTCCATATTTATGTTAAAATTTTAAGGGATAAATCTGATGTAAATAATAGGGTAGATTACACTCAACTCTCCTGAGGTATGAGAAAAATGCAATTAGCCTTACATTTTGATATAATTATATTGATTTTTCTGTTAATAAGGTTGAAGTGATCGAAACTAATGTATATAATGGATAAATACTGAAATAAATAAAGTTAAATATAAATTAGTATAAAAGAGGTTAACAATATTTTTATTATTCATATGACTAACAAATTACCGATAAAAAATAATTTAATTATTATGTAAATTAAAATTTTAAGATAGACCAGTGCAATTATATCAATAGTACTAAACTAACTGTATTTTTTTAAATAATAAATCAATTTACCTTATATATAGAAAAAAAAAATGCTAGGAACCCACTCTTATGAACCCATATCTTATCCCGAATGTATTTGTATAGCGGAGATTAAGTTGATGAAGTGTAAGGTCTATGAATGAAACGAATTTGAACCATTGATTTCTTTGTCTAAATAAATTCTAGGTTGATAAAGATGAATGTGTAGCATTGTTGTATATAGAAATATAGAGTGCTAAAATTTGAAAATTTTAGCCAAAACTCCTGCATTGGACCCTTGTTTGGTGAAAATGACAACTTAATTTTTTTTGCTTTATAAATTCCTTAAGGAGAAAATATATAATTGAGTAAAGACAAAGTAAAATATATATATATATATATATATATTTTGTAGATAATATTGACATAGTAACATGTTAGTGTAAACCAAAGTAATATGTTACTGTAAGACAGAATAATAAATTATTGTCAAACAGAGTAACATGTTGTTGTTACTGTTTACATCAATTTTGACGGTAATAATTCTTTTTTTTTAAGAATTTCATAGTGAACATGGATCTTATTTGATAGATTTTGATGAAAGAATTCTAAAAATACTAATTTTATTAAAAACTGACATTTACATCAAAAGTTATATTATTTAAAAATTTAATATTTTGATAATAATTTTATTTGTTAGATTTTTCAAAAAAAACTTTTTATGTTTATCCTTAATACATTAAAGTTTTATTATGGGGAGACGAATCCTCCATAAATTTCTACCTTCATTTAAATTTGGAAAATGATTGAGACTGATAAAAAAAAAACTATTACAATTTGACCTACACTAAGATAATATGATAAGTGTCAACTTTTAATTAATTACACACTTAATGATATGAGACTTACTTTCTTTATTATATCACTAGCGTATGCCCGTGCCTAAAGGCACGGTGTAAATAATATTAAAATTAAAATACAGTTATAATTTAAACGTATTATGTTGAAATTTGTGAAGTTTGTGTCATTTTTTTAATAAAGACACTGAAAAAATATATTAAAATATTTTACTTCTTAAAAAATTTGTAACAATTTTGCTTATATTACACGCTCTACAAAACTCAAATAAAATAACAACTCCCCCTAATCTTAATGCAAATTAAGAAATAAATATTGAAAATCAAAATATAAGAGCAAGTAAAAAAAAATTGTAAATACTGAACAAAAAACAGAAATTAAACTTATTGTATACTTGTTAACGTTTTATAAAAAAAAATTACTAAATCTATATAATAAAGCACATAAGTAAGTGCTTTACAATCTCAACAATTAAATTGAAAATTAAATATCAAACAATACATAACAACCTGTATTTTACAATTTCAAACAAATCAAATATAAAATAATGCACACCAGCCAATGCTCTGCAATCTAAAAGAAATTAAAATTATAATGCACACCAGTTAGTGTTATATTGTCAAATTATAACTACATAAGAAAAAAAAAATATTATATTGTCATACACCAAAAGAGTGAGTTAAAACTTTATAAAAAGAGGGTTAAAGCTTTCAAAAATATGTATGCTTTACAAAAAATCTGTCAATAACATGTCTTCAAACATGTGTTTGCCCGAACTTCTTCCTCATTATTTTACAAAAAGTCTTTGTATCAACTTGTATGTATCCCCAATAAGGAACATGCACAATAATCTGGTAATTTGTAGAAAAAAAAATATAGATTAGTACATTTGTTGAAAATAAACTTCACAAATACTTTGAGATTAAAATTACCTTATTACATCCCCATCGAAGCAAGCTAATCGTATTTCTCCTTTTAAGCTCTATAGATTTTTCGATCCAATCCTACAAAAGTCCATATTTCAAATTATTATTAAATTAAAATTTTATAAAAAGTTATATAATCAATATAAATAAATCTACATGGTTACCTTATGATAAAACGTGATTTAATCTACATAGAACACTACAACAACACTTTAAGATAAACAATATTTGTAGTAGAATCCAAACTATCTTTAGGAAGTAGAATACTTATACGATCAAAGGATGTACATCTGGATAATGTCACATATAATTGCCTATGCCTAAACACCGGTATGCGCAAATCAACCCCAACAAATTTCACAGATTGTTCTTGAGATTTATTAATGGTCAAGGCATATGCCAATCGAACTAGAAATTGGCGTCTTGTCATTTGGAAAGGCATTTCTGAAGAAGATAGTGTCAAAGATATCCTCGGTATGAATGCGAAATTGCCAAACTTTTCTCCAGTTAAAATTTGAGCTTCAATTATGCGAGTGTTGCATCTAGTAACCATCAATCTTGTACCATTACATAGTCCATCTTTCGGTGCAATGTTTCTCAACAATATTATAGGACAACCCACTTTCAACTCTAACTTAAAAGTTGACAGTCTAGGAGGATCCAATGAATTTAAATATTCATTAGGACATCTATTTGTAATGGTAGGATCAATTTCATTATCTTCAGACATTTTATCTACTGCAAGATAAGTATACAATCTCCCTAGAAAGATATTCAACGCAGCAGTATTAATGTCACTGACATCATCGTTACGCGCAGACAAAATTATGCGTTCAGTTAAGAATGTTGGGGTTGATGTCTCTATCATATTCAACTGTGGGTAAACTATAGAGAGTAAATCATTCAAATCTTGACATTTGTGTATTGTTGATGGAAGATTAACGATTTCTTGAGGATTGGTCCCAATCTGAAAAAATTAAAATCAATAAAAAAAAAGTGTAAATACAATTTATTAATTTAAAATAATTTATATAATAAGAAAAAATGTTATAGTGTTACCTCCATCAAGAAATTTGCAAAATTAGCATTTTCATGGCCTTCAGGATTCAAACGCATATTCAAATCCAAAGTTAAGACATGTATATGCTTCCATAGAATAGAGTGTCTTAATGATGCATTCACAATTTGCTCAGGAACTCCTTTGGGTATAACCGGTAAGATTTGTCGAAAGTCTCCACCAAGAACAACAATAATACCCCCAAATGGCTTTTCACTATCACAAATATCTCTCAATGTACGATCAACCGTCTCAACACAATGTTTATGTTGCATAGAACCTTCATCCCAAATTATGAGTTTTGTTTGTCTAAATAACTCAGCTTGTAATGATTGTTTGCTAAACCCACAAAGTGAGTTTTCCAAGACATCTAACGGAATGGGAAATGTTGAATGTGCAGTGCGACCTCCTACTAGTAACAATGATGCAATTCCAGATGAAGCCATAGTAACAACGATATGCCCAAGGCTGCGACATTTTAATGCAATTGTATTGTACATAAATGTTTTCCCTGTTCTAGCACCCCCATTCAAAAAGAAAACAGTTCGTTTATTTTGAAAAACTAAAGAAGTGATTGTGTTATAAGCATTTCGA